GTAATGCAAAACCTCCCAACTAAAAAAAGCCTGGTGAAGAATGATTCACAGCAGAATCCTATCAGACATTCAAAGAAGATCTACAACCAGTTCTTCTTAAATTATTCAAAAAGTTGGGAAAAGGAAAACTCCCAACTTCCTCCAATGAAGCCAATATCACTCTAATACCAAAACCAGGTAAAGACACAACAGAAAAGAAAATTATAGGCCCATATTCTTAATGAACATGAGCACAAATATTCTTATCAAAATATTTGCAAATTGCACATCAAAGAAATCGTCCACCATGAGCATGTTGGCTTTATTCCAAAGATGCAGGTATGATTCAATATTTGTAAGGCAATAAATATAATAAATCATATAAATTGACTTGACAAAAATCACATGATCATCTCAATAGCTACAGAAAAGGCCTTTGACAAAATCCAATATGCATTCATGTTAAAAATCCTAGAGAACATACCTCAATATAATTAAAGCTATATATGAAGGGAACATACTTCAATATAATTAAAGCCATATACAACAAACCCAAGGCCAGCATCATTATAATTGGAGAAAATCTGGATGCATTTCAATTAAAATCAGGAACAAGACAAAGCTGTCCACTATCTCCATTCCTTTTCAATATAGCACTTAAAACTCTTGCTAGAACAATAAGACAAGAGAAGAAATTTAAAAGAGTACTAATTGGAAAAGAAGAGGTCAAATTATCACCATTTGTGGAGGATATGGTACTATATATGAGATCTTAAAAATTCCACCAGAAAACTGCTAGAAATGATTAATAATTTTAGTAAAGTGATAGAATACAAAATCGACTTACAAAAATAAGTAGCTTTTCTATATGCTAATAACAAACAATCAGAAAATGCAGTTAAGGAAACCCTCCCATTCATAGTAGCCTCAAAAATTTAGGAGTAAACTTAACCGAAGACATTAAAGAACTCTACAATGAAAATTTCAAATCTTTAAAGAAAAAGATAGAGGAAGACGCCATGGAAAGATGTACCATGCTCATGGATTGGTAGAATTAATATTGTGAAAATAATCATCTAACCAAAAGCAATCTATAGATTCAATGCAATGCCAATCAAAATACCCATGACATTCTTTACAGAACTAGAAAAAATACACCAACATTCATATGGATTGCAAAACAGCCCAGATATCCAAAGCAATCTTGGGCAAAAAGAACAATGCTGGGGGGATCACCATACTAGATCTCACATTATATTACAGAGTTATAGTCATAAAAATAGCATGGTGCTGGCACAGAAACAGATATGTAGATCAATGGAACACAATAGAAGACTGAAACATGAATACATGCAATTTCAGCCACCTGATAGCTGACAAAGGTGCCAAGAAAGGAAAGAGCATCATCAGCTAACGGTGCTGGCAAAACTGGATCTTCACTTGTTGAAGAATTAAATTGGACCCCATCTTTCACCCTGAACAAAAGTCAACTCCAAGTTGATCAAAGACCTCAATATAAAATCTGTAACTCTGAAACTGCTATAAGAAAACATAGGCAGTACCCTACAAGATATAGGTGTAGGAAAGAACTTTATAAATTGGACATTATTTGCTCAGTCATTAAGGTCAACAATCAAAAGTGGGATCTCCTCAAACTACAAAGCTTCTGTATAGCACAAGAAACCAAAGAAGTGAGGAGGAAACCTACTGAGTAGGAGAAAATCTTTACCTGCTACACATCTGACAGAGGATTAATATCCAGAATATACAAGGAACTCAAAAAACAAAGAAACAAGAAAACAAATGACCTAATACAGAGATGGTCTATGGATCTGAACAGAAAGTTATCAAATGAAGAAATAAAAATGACTAAGAAACATTTAAAAAGTGCTCAACATCCATAGTAATTAGACAAATGCAGACCAAAATCATTTTAAGATTCCATCTTACTCCAGTCAGATTGGCTAAGAACAAGAGAACAAAAGAGATCAAATGCTGGAGAGGATATGGAGAAAGGAGAACACTCATTCACTGCTGTGGGAATACAAACACTTGCAACCCTATGGAAAGCAATGTGGAGAACTCTTAAAAAACTAAAAATAAGTCTATGATATGATCTGGTTATACCACTCCTTGGCTTATACCCAAAGGACTCATCATACTGTAAAGATGCCTGTACATCCATGTTTCTCACTGCTGTTTTCACAATAGCTAAGAAATAGAAACAACCTAAATGTCCTTCAACCAATGAACAGATAATGAAAAAAATGGTACATTTACACAATGGAGTTCTACTCAACAGTAAGAAAAGATGAAATCTGCAGATAAATGTATGGAACTAGACACTGTTATCAGTCCCTTACATATGCATATATATCCTGGCAGGAGCCATGAAAATGAAAAGCAAACAGAGGTAAAGGGAAAGCAAGAACATGAAAGAGGGGACTGGTATGGAACAGATGTTACCAGGGTTAGGTGGGGAAAGTAGGAATGTTCAGCTGAGAAGGGAGGAGGGAGGGACATGCAAGTGACCATGGGAATGGGTGGGAAGGGAACTCAGGAGAGGCCAGATGATGGGAAGTGGGGGTTATGGGGGAGGGGGAGAAATAGGGGCACTTGGACTGCAGAGGGAGGAGGGAGGTTGGACTATGGGGAGAGAGAGGAGAGATGAATGGAGCTTGGGTAGTATGGGAAGCCAGAGATAAAGTGTTGGCTAAGGAACTCTCTGAGAAATACGTACATGGTGTCTGAGCATTAGTGCATGTTTATAGCTGGGGGTTATATGGCAAGGAGCACAGTGCCAGACAGGAGAGATGTCCCTTCAAGTTGTTGGTCAGAGTAGTCCAAGAGACTTCCAAAATAACACAGTCTATTGCCAGAGCCCTTGGTTATCTCCCAGAACTTGAAGGTAAGACCCTACTTCTGAAGACAGGGCATATTTCGGACATAGGACTTGGAGCAATGGAGCTAGAACTGACCTGGAAGCCTTCTCCCTGAAGACTAGCCCTCATAGTTCTAGAGGATTCTACACAAGCTGCAAAGTAAGAAAATCAATCAATGGTCCAACCCAATTCTAAACCCTAATAATCACAACGACTGGTACAACAAACTACCTCTATTGTTGCAGTAGTAGCAGCACTGTTATCTAGGGTGTAATCAACAGCTATCTAAATGGACTTAAAATTCTCTGAATGGGAGGGAACTCATGGGTGGCACTGTAATTATAGCCAAATACACATGGTGGGAGAGGTCATAGGTCCCAGAGAAAACCCTAAATATGGATCCTTATATTTACAGACAAATGTACCATATACCACTCATCAAAAAATTTTCTTTTTGCAACAGATGGAGGCTAGTACAGAGTGCCACAACTGGTCACACACAGAGAATATATGTCTGAGAGATGCCCAGTCTGAGGTGACATATCTACAGGGGAATTTCTAAACCTAAGGCTCATGGAACACAGTGGAACAGAGGACGGAGAGAATACTAATGCAGTCCTCAACTCTCACCAGTGAAGCTTCCTTATACAACAGAGTGAAATGTACACAGAAGGCTACAACTGGCTATTGTTTAGAGAATAAAGGACTGTAGAGTGTGTGTCCCTAGATAAGACTTCTATATTAAATCTCAGCCACCCACAGCTCAGGGACCATTTCAGAAAAGGGGGAAGAAAGATTGTAAGAGCTAGGGTTAGTCCATGAATATAGGGAAACAGAGGTTTTCAGGATACTGGAAGGTTGCTCGTGTGAACTTGCCTCAGTGGTGGCATCATGCATAAGACCCATGCTGACTGAATCAGACAAGGGCCCAACATGGAGTGAGGGAAATGGGCAGCAGGCTGGCCCTAGCATAGGAACTGTTGGCAACTGATTATTGCTGGATGAGGGGGGATAGAGATTCTTAAGATCTCTAGATGGCTGACTAGACTCCAGTGGATGAACTTGCACTGAAGGACATCTGGTTATGAATGCTTGATTGGATTTAGCAGGAATGGAGGAATGCATGAGGTCTGGCGGGGGGTCATGGGTGAGAGAGTGAGTCTAAATTTGATTAAGAACTATTGTATGAAATGCACAAAAACTCAATAAAAATATTTTAAATATTTTTAAAAATTTTAAATAAATAATTTCATAGCATTGAATCTACTCAACTTTTTTTCAGTGCTTTGTATAAGAGTTTATTTTTGCAGTTTTAGATTCTATTATTCCTATTGTGATGGTTTGAATGAGAATGTTCCCCATAGGCTCCAAATATTTGGAAATTTTGTCCCCAGTTGGTTGCACTGTTTTGAGATGCCTTAGAAGGTGTGGCCATGCTGGAGGAAGCACACTACTGGATTAGAGAGTTCTTACACCTTGCTGGATCTCCAGCCACTCCCTGCTTTCTGTGCCTACTTGAAGATGTGAGAGCTTGGCTTCTGCTCCCACTCAAGTCACCTCTGCCATGATGCCTCCCTGCAATGACCAACTCTAATTCTCCTGTCACTGTAAGCTCAAATAAACTCTTCCTTTTATAAGTTCCCTTGGTCACAGTGTATTATCACAGCAATAGAAAAGTAACTAATACACCTTTAATACACCTATGTATGTAACATACCAATTTTATGTATGCTTTATTCTATTTACTTGTAAAGATTAGCTGGGGCAGTGGTAGAATGTGCTACCAGATACACAGATTTCTGTCTACCTTTTCTATGTAAACTGTACTTTTCAATTTGTTCCAACTGTACCCACTGTCTTTCTGATTCCACATTCATACAGAAAATAAGCAACCCTATCTAGTCAAATTCATCTAGAAATTCCCCATTTAGAAAATTTCCTTTTATACATGAGATGGGGATTTGTGGAAGATCAGATTATTAGAATCTATGCAAAGTGAACATTTCCCTACCAGCAAAAAGGAATGTATGTGTGAGGGGTCAGGGAGCAAGCATTTTTCTAGAGGAGCAGGAGTCAGGAGTCTCACAGCAAAATGAATGCCATAGAGAATGTCACTGTGGCCCTTGGTTAGGATGTTACCTTTCAGGACGGACTCCAGCCTTGCTGGTTTCAATGGATTCCTGAACACTGAGCTGAATGTCATAACTTGCAAGATAGTCTTCATCAGGATCCTCATTAGTGTCCATATCTGCAAATAATTAAAAAAGAGGTAATTTCATATTATCAACAAAGGATGGAACAATAGATGCAATTAATATATCAAATTCAAAATGAAAAATGGAATAATTTATCTTTCCTTACTAAATAGTACAAATAGTAAAGATTTTAATACATGTAAATATAAGCTGTATTTTAGCAACTTCAAATGTTCTGTTGAAATATTTAATTACCTACTCCTTGAGTGTATCTTTTAATTATTGAATTGTTTCATTTTCTTTAAAAAAAGATTATATTTATTTTTATTTTATGTGGGTTCATTGTCTTTTTCAGGCTTCTGATGAATATTAACTAATTTGCGACTATCGCATCACACAACACATTCAAAGATTAAAACTCAACCTTAGGAGAAGTGGGTCAGTCAATAGAAATCCTTTTACAGTTTCTACAAACAGTAGCCCTCAAACAGCACCTCCAGTCATCAGGTCTAGATGGTCTCAGAGCATCATTTGCACCAGCAGTTGGCTAGGGACGAACCCTCCTGTAGATGCCCCATTAATTCCATACATATTTATGCCATACATCAGAAGCCACTGTTTTTGACTAGCCTGTCTCCTCCAGGATAATATGCAAAAATGAAAATAAATGCGCATTGGTTTATTTCTTTATAGATATCAGAAGAGTGAAATGCTTCTTTACTATTGAATCAGATTCTTTGGTTATATATAGAAAGTTTAATAGATAAAGAAACTGAAAATAGTTCTACAGTGGGATGACCGAACAATGTGAGATTATCTTTAATTCTTAGTGCTTCCAAACCAAAATTCATTCTGTATGTGAAATTTTATGTAGTAGTAAGCATACTGTTATTACTGTTCTACTCTAAGAGGAGAAATAAAAACAGTATCTGAGGGCCATCTCCAAAACACAGTTGACATATGCTGCACATTTTATCATTCTTCAAGTTTAGGTAATCTTAAACTCTAAAGACAGCTCTAAATGTGCTGATAGTCACAGTCCTTGATCCTTGAATAGACTACACACAAACTCTATAGAACTGTGATAATTTTGTTGTTTATTTTTCTATAGCAGGTTTGGCTTTGTGGTGCACCTCTGTAATCCAGCACTTGGGAGGATGAGACAGGAGAACCATGAGTACCAAAGACAGCCCAAGCTATAATAATGAGACCTTGTCTGAAAACATCAAAAACAAAAGCAAAAAACAGTTGTCATTTGCAAGTGACCTTACAGCTGCTTTGGAACAGAAAAGATAAATGGGAATAATACTCTGAGACTTCATATGAGATGGTAGCCATGCTCCACTGAGCATGCTCACTTACGCTAGGGTAACTGTCTCCTCACAGGCATGTGTGCATACTGGGGATCCTCCTCACCAAATAGATTCAAGTGGTGCTTTACTTTTTTCTACTGTTAATTGCTTCTTTGTCTCTTGTCCCTAGACTATGACTACACAAGATCAGGGAACTAAGGTGTAGCCTTAGTTTCTAGAGAAGTACATAGAGTCTGTACACGTGCCTTGAATGAATGAACTAAGGAGTTAACTGAAGAACATGGAGTCATGCCTGCTCTGCCTTGTTCTTAAAACTGACCATTTTTATCAGGAATAAAGTCTTTCAACTTCTTACTCTGTATTTTACTTCATTTTTCCATAGTCTTTTTTTTTTTTTTTTAAACATCTGCTTCTTCCTTTACAAGGCCATCCTAACTGTTCCTCTCTTGGACACTCCTATCTCAAGCCTGGCACAAGAGACTTTCTTGTATGGAAGTCCTTGCTGGAATTTTCCACTTCCTATCTAGTTATCTTTTATCTGTGAATATCTCTTATGTAACATTTGCCCGATATTTGAGTCCATACTCATTCTGTATTTGCTTTGCAAGTTCGTCACATATTTGTATTCCGTGTTCTCCTTGGACTATTACTTTCCTGAGAAAGAGAAAAAATGCTTTCATTTTGGCAGTCCGGGGATTAGACCCAGGTTGCAACACATGCTAGACAAGCACTGAACCCCAACCTCAGTCCTGGTTTCTTTCTCTTTTGTAGCATTTTCCCCTCTATTCTACTCCTAACTTACTTGCTTTCCTAAGAGGCAAATAAATGACTTATGTCAGTGGTCATGGGAAAAGTTGTGGACTAATTTCTGGCAAACAAGCACTAAGTCCTTCAAATAACACAAATCAGGTGACAAAGCTAAACGTTTGGCACTGCCTGCTGCCTTTCTTGCTGACATAACTGTGGTGAGACAGGGTTTGCAAGGTTATGAGATTAGTAATGGGATTCAGAGCCTTTCACCTGTTCAAATCCCCAGCTTAGATCTAACCCTGATTGAAATTTGGGCTTCCAGGACATGAGATACTACAGACTCCTTACAGGTCTGAGTTGATCAGTGAAATGGCTTCCCCACATCTTTTTCAGTAGTTTTTAAAAACTACTATTAAGAAGGATGTTATCAATATTCTTAACTGACATATCCATAATGAAATCAAGGTAAAAATTATGGGAAAACCTACAACAGAACCCACAGCTTGGATGAGGATAAAGTGTCATACCTGCCATCCAAGGAGCATCGCAGAATGGTGTGGAGGACCACAGGATGCAATGAGAAAGGCAAGAAGAGAGTTAATATAGTAAAACTGTAAACCAATAGGCCAATAAATCAACTGGAAACTATTAAATAAAGAGCTTCTCAAGAGGATGAGGAAAAGCCAGAGAGCATTTGGGTGTCAAGTGTCTCAATTCTGTCTAGAGAAATTAACTGAGCCTTTCTTAAAAATAATTAGCCACCTAGCACTAAGATTTGTTCTGGAAAAGTCCAGGAATGAGACCATTTGATTTTCACAAGTAGCCAGCTTACAAAATAATGGAAGCAATCTCTGTGGTATGTGTGTGTGTGTGTGTGTGTGTGTGTGTGTGTGTGTGTGTGATACACAAGTGTGTCTGCCTATGTATGTGCAAGTGGAGGCCAGAGGTCAAAGGTGAAAATTTTCCTCTATTGCTCTCAACCTTATTCTTTGTGAGTCTCTTACTGAACCTGGAACTTACAGTTTCAGACAAACCAGCTGCCCAGGGAGTGCCAGGATCCGGCTGTCTTGGCATTATTCCCCAGCATTGATATTATAGATGTTCACAACCTAGGTGTTGGGGATCTGAACTCAAGTTCTCATACTTTCACAGTGGTCTCTTTACCCACTGAGCCATCTCTAAGCCTCCATATTGGAGCAATATTACAGTAAAATTAGTGGTTTAATTTATAGTGCTGGTTAACTTGCTGAGGGCAGAAACACATTTGATGGGAGTTATGGGCTCTCTCTGAAGGACACTGAAAACTTGTCATAATGCCAGGGAACTCACAAATGCACTGAAGCGCTTTTGTTTTTAAATGTTGTTTAAAAAGTAGCTAAACTCTAGATGTATAAATGCCCAGTCCCAAATATCTAGCTAAGATTTTAATGGTTGTTAATTTGTTTTACAGATGGGCTAAGTTAAATTCCAAATTTAGATGTAAGGAAAAGGAGTTTAGTGACTATGCAATTTTAGAACACGGTTGAAAGAATAAAAATTGCAACAGCCCTGTGAACTATGAACCATGGGGTGCTGGCTCTATTTAAAGAGTCTTGCAAAGCACTTTGTATACATGACTGCATTTAAGTCCTCACTCTGTATGTTGTGGGTATTACGAATCATTGTGAATAACTGGAAGTTGGGCCTTATCCATTCAACATCCCAGAGCTGATACACAGAGTCTGAGTAGGGAGGACATATTCTCCTAAAGCCTTTCTAAAGCTGCAGTCTGTTGCCTTTAACAGAAAACACTTTGATCCTGTTCTAACAGCCAGTTCTCAGTGACAATAACTTCCAAAAATAAAAACTAGCTTCCAAAGGCACATAAATCTTTCTCTTTGGCTCTGTGCAATGAGGTTTTGTGTTGCATAGGGTGGTCTGAGGTGTCCTAAGCTTGCCTTCATTCCGTACTTTTTGTTTTGGAGTCTAAACATCACTGTCCAGAAAACAGGATCAACATGCCAGTTGGTGCCTGGCTGAAGTAGCCAGGAGGTTTGGATGGTGTTGCAAAGCACAATGCAGGAGTGAACACGGGGGTATGACACCTCCTTGCATCAGATTCTCTCATCCCTCATTCACACCGATGCCTTACTGTTATGGTAGTTGATAGTTTGTGATACCCCTCACATGTGCCCTTGAAATGCAATAGCTCAGTGTCATGGAACCATTGTTCTTTCCCCAGAATAAGGACAAATGTAACCATATTTTTCATGAATTGTTTCATTGGCTTGTTCTGCATTATGTACAAGACTTTGCTCTACCTGCCCTGACTTCTGTCTTGGACATAACAAAATTGGAGCTCTCTCTTTGAGTCCAAAGCAAGGATGGTGTGAGAACAGGCTGAATGGACAGTTGCTTCCATTGTGCAAGGAAGGGCTCTATGTCCATAAATATCAAACTTCCCTCAGCACCTGTCACGGCATTGTCATTCTGTCACGTCAGTGAGAGTTTGTCCTCTAGGGCACATTGTTTCCTCTTCCTGTATCACTTTAAAATACCAATACCAACTGAGCATGGTAGTGCAGGCTTCTAAGGCTGAAGCAGGATTGAGACTGAGGTCATCTTGAACTACATGGTGGAGACCTTGTTTCAAATTATTCAACCAATGAATCAAAAGTAAAATGCCATGGGCATCACGCTGGCCCCAATGTAGAGCCAGGATGTCTTGGAAGAGCTCCTGGAGAGAGGCATGTGTAGTAAGACGGCAGAAGGTCCCAGGCTAAAATTGAGTGCAAGGTGACAATGGACCAAGAAAAAGCACAATACAATAAAATTTAGTTTTCCTTGCAATTTTATGCAAGTATAGTCCACATTTAAACCTTGTGTTTCCCAAGGAAGTACAGGCTCCTGTTTGGTAGAATACTGAGTTCTGGTCTGGTTCACAGAGGAATTTCTCTTTTACCTTTAAAGGGTTGTGATTCTTGAGTGGTGATTCTTGAGCTGGTCTACTG